GCCGTGTTGGCCGAAGCGGCACTAACCTGGAGAGCGGGGCAGTTGTCGTGTCAACATTGGCGGACCGCTGCGCTGATTCTCCCAGAACGTGAACAATGACACAATGTCGCGGGTACTCATGTGCGAGAATCGCATTTCTACTCTGCAGTTGAACGTCATCCCCGCGCCTCCGCTCTGGCCACGGGGGAAAAACGATCACGGCCAACTGCAGTCATTGGATCGTCCCGACCGTCCGTATTCCCAGATCGGACCGTCCGTATTTCCAGATCGGACGGCCAATAGGCGTGCACGGAGGGCCCACCCGAAAAACCACATATATGAGGCAGGCCCACCACTCCCCATTGGAACATCCCGACCGTCAGTATCCTTGGATCGGACGGCCAGCAGATTCCCTGCGAAGGGACCTCCCGAAAAACTATATATATGAGGGAGGGCCACCAGTTTCCATTTTCGTTTAAGTTCGGCAACGCAGCAGTAGCGCAGCGCAGCGGAGGCTCGTGCCACAGCACAGCGCAGTGGAGGCTCGTGTACAGCGCGGCAACAGAGCGCAGGGATTCGGTCCGTGCATAGCAGACCACCTGCTCGACGCGACGGCGGACCACAGGGCTGTCGAGAGGCGTGTTCAGCGCGACGACGGAGCGAGCATATGGCCCAAGATTGCAACGCACAACCACAGCGGAGCACCCCGAGTTTGAAGGATCGGACGGTGAGGACACAACCACGCAGCCCAGCTGCAACCACGTAATGCCACGTGGCACTTCCGGTCGTCGAGTCGAACACGATCGGGCCAGATCGTCGAGTCGAACACGATCGCGCCCGATCGTCGAGTCTAACACGATCGTGTCCGATCGTCGTGTCGAACACGATCGTGCCCGATCGTCGAGTCGAACACGACAGTGCCCGACAATCGAGTCGAACACGCTCGTTGAGTCGAACACGATCGTCGAGTCGAACACACTCGTCGAGTCGATCACGATCGTCGAGTCGAACACGATCGTGCCCGATCGTTGAGTCGAACACGATACTGCCCGATCGTCGAGTCGAACACGATAGTCGAGTCAAACACGACACTGCCCGATCGTCGAGTCAAACACGATAGTCGAGTTGAACACGACACTGCCCAATCGTAGAGTCGAACACGACATTGACCGATCGTCGAGTCGAACACGATCGTCGATTGTGTTTGTCGAGTCGAACACGATAGTCGTGTCGAACACGATTGGCGAGTCGAACACATTGAGTCCGACACGATCGTCGATCGTATCCGGACGTTGAGTAGAACACGATCGTTGAGTCGAACACGATCGTCGAGTCGAACACGATCGTCGAGTCAAACAAGATAATCGATTGCGTTCGTCGAGTTGAACACAATAGTCGAGTCGAACACGATCGTCGAATCGAACACGATCGTTGAGTCGGATACGATCGTCGAGTCGAATACGATAGTCGAGTCGAACAACGATCGTCGAGTCGAACACGATCGTCAAGTCGGATACGATCCTCGAGTCGAATACGATAGTCGAGTCGAACACAATCGTCGATTGCGTTCGTCGAGTCGAACACGATAGTCGTGTCGAACACAATAGGCGAGTCGAACACGTCGAGTCGGACACGATCGTCGATCGTGTCCGGACGTCGAGTAGAACACGATCGTCAAGTCGAACACGATCGTCGAGTCGAGCACGATCGTCGATTGCGTTCGTCGAGTCGAACATGATAGTCGAGTCGAACACGATCGTCGAATCAAACACCATCGTCGAGTCGGACACAATCGTCGAGTCGGACACGATCGTCGAGTCGAACATGATCATCAATTGCGTTCGTCGAGTCGAACACGATAGGCGAGTGCCTTGTCGTCGAGTCGAACACGATCCTTCCCTGTCCTCTAGTGGAACAAGATTGTGCGCGGTGCAATGTAATCGAATCGTTCATGATTGTGTGCAGTGCTATGGGCCGCTTGCGTCGTGTCCTGGAAGATTGTGCATGGGTTGTGTGTGTGAAATTATTGGCGTGGATTGCGCACGTAGATTCTGTGCATTGTGCTGCGTGCGGCCTGGTTTGTTTCCATTGTTGGGGGGAGCGGGGTGAATAGTTCTATGATGTTGTTCGTTGTTCTATTGCTGCTGTTGACCGTTGCTCTTGTACCGTGCAGGGCGTCTTGTCTTCACTGTTGCTATGGAGATCTCTAATATGACCCCAGCACTTTGGCGTGCACGCAAGGCACACCCTTTCCCGCCTTGCGCGCAGTACGTCCGGCAATGTCAGGGCAGCGTAACCTATGAAGGCGCTTGTCCAGAAGACTTCGAATGCGACCCTTAGATGAGAATCCTCCCGTTTGGCTACAAACATTTGGACTCGTGGGAGGAGTGCGAGTTGGTGAACATGACGGAGAGATGCCCGTGGGCGTGCGATTATGAGTTCACGAATATGTCCGAATTCGGCAAACGCATTCCCGTGCCGTTCGATGTGCTGCGTCCCGTGCGCTTGCCGCTACTGTATAAAAAGGTAAAAATAAGCCGTGTTGTGGGGGTTTTGGACTGCGAATACGTGGCAACCTCGCCTCGCACTTGCTGCCATGTTATGAAACAGGAGTTACTCGATTGTGCGTGACATTCTCAGTTCCTCGATCATTATCCGATGCGATCTTCCGGTCTGTCGCTAGGAGCAGTTTCGTATTGTTGTGTGAGATTGCGTCTGGCATACTTTATCTTCTGTAGGGTGCTCTGTATTGCCGTTTCGAGCAGGGCAAGAAACTTGACCGATGTTGTCGTGTATGTGTCCAGGAACGAGTTGTCTATGTCCGGGAGGGATATGTGTTTAGTTCAAAGAAGGGTAGATAGGAGACTGGATATCGTGGTGGGTGGCCAGGTGGAGGACGTTGTCGCATGGCGCGAGGTCGAGGCTAAAGTCGTTTCAATTCGGGATGCTATAGGCGCTTCTCTCGTCGGGAACTCCGAATTCGTGCGAATGTCATACATTTCGGTGTTTGCTAAGACGGCGCAGCAGCTGACCTTTGGATCGCCAATTAGCGTGTTGAATGGCCGCAACGGCGGGATTGTTCCCCGTAGTCGGTGGATAGCCTTCGTCATACTGAATGGCTGCAACGGCATACTGAATGGCCGCAATGGCCGCAACGACAAGATTGTTCCCCGTAGTCGATAGACAGCCTCGTGGAATTCGCCTTGTTCTAAATGTGTTATTTCGATAACAATATGCGGTATCTACTAGTTGTTCTCATCATGTGTTCAGTGGCCAAAAGTACACACGTTTGACGAATTTGTCCTCATATTGTTTTTCGATTCATTGAAACCCGAGAATGATGACACGTGCTTTTGGTTTGGCTGTGCACACCGACACATCGCTGTCAGCCGAGTGTTTGATTGTTGTTCTCATATTGTGTTTCCTTTCGGAAAAAAAACTCGTTGTTCTGATGTTTTGCGTGCACAAACATTCAGCAGCCAATGTTTCTCTGTGTTAACCAGTGCCTGCGATCTGTTGTCTTGTGTTCTCGTGATCAAGTGCCCCTTTAGGCACCGTCTGCCGACCATTGTGTCGAACACGACAAATGTCGCACAACACACCCCTGTGTCGCTGTCGTGTTCGACACGATGGTAGCCGCCGACCATTGTGTCGAACACGACAAATGTCGCACAACACACCCCAGTGTCGTTGTAGTGTTCGACACGATGGTCGCCAGACGGTGCCCGAAGGGGCACGTGGTCGATTGTCGAACGGCAGACGACAGTGTCGCTGTCGTGTCAAACACGACGGTCAGTTCCCCTTCAGGCACCGTTTGGCGACCATCATATCGAACAGGACATGGAGACTGTTATCTGGCGACCAGGCGGTGCATGTAGGGCCGCTTGGTCGAAGACGACGAGTTGGTCGGCCGTCGGGTTCGGCACGACAGTGACACGACGACACCGCAATGTCGCTCTCGTGTCGAATTCGACGGTACTGGAGGACGTCGTGGCACGGCCGTCAAGTTCGACACGACAGTGAAACGGCGACGAGCTGGTGGGCTGCGGCCCACTTTCGTTACTCTGTGTTCCTGTCTATTCTTGTTCTCAAGTGCTTTGGTGTTTGGACGTTGGCAAAGCAATGACTGCTTTCTCGCTTGTGCATTTTCTTCAGTTGCGACTAACTGCTCAACATGGATCGCGAGGGGAAGCCAAGCAAACGACGTACTAGTACTGGTTCTGGGAGCATGGAGCAGTCTCCGAAAAAACCGAAGGGGACACCAACGGCTGGCGTGGGGGCTGGCGACACAACGGGGTCTAAGGGCCACCGAACCCCGGTGCTGCGGGGTGCACCTTCTACGGGCACTCCTTCCGCCCATGTTCGAGGTTCGGGACCGGATTCGGTTGTGCTGATGACTGGTGGGGTTGCGGGTCGAGAAGAGGAGGCTACTGGTCGGCAAGGGAAATCTACTATGGACGTTGTGTCCAGGCGTAGAAGGTCTGGTGAGACGTCCGTTGCAGGTGTGGGAGACGAGGTTCCTGTCGTCGACCACAAAGATAGGTGCTGGATGTTGGACTGGGTGGGTGGAATCGGGGAACCCTCGGGTGGGCTGGTTTTGTACGTGGTGATCAAAGATAACATTGTTCCGATTGGCGGTGTGGTGAAGTGGAGTGGAGGAAATTCACAGTTCGCCATGTTGGAGTTGACGATGGTCCTTAACGCTAGAGGTGAGCGGATGGCGAAGGTCAAACGCGTTGCTCTTCGTTGGGCCAAACACGCTGGGTACAGCAAGAAGCTTTATGACATTTT